TTTTTTTTGGCATCTTAACATTTCTATGTTTGGTTTGAAGCAATGTATAGAAATTTATCACAATAATTTCAGTGGTTCGGTGATGAAATAATAATCCAAGCTGATTGCTTAAATGTTCAGATATGAACGGTTATATTAAAGTTTATTGACCTGTTTTTGCTGATTTATTATTTACTCCAGGATATTCTTGTGGAGATACAAGAGGGGAGACAGAAACAATCAATGGCCGGGGAAGATGAAATAGTTGGAGATGAAAGAGAACCTAATGGAATTATTCTTGTGGCTTGCAAGGATGAACATTCTTGCATGCAGCTTGAAGATTGCATTACAAAAGGCCAGCATGAGGTTTCTGCGCTACATTTATGCAAAATGTTTCTCGTCTTTTTCCGGGTCATAATGATTTTGTCGATCTATGAGCAGATAAAGATTTTGTTCGTTCTTTGAAATGTCAATACATAATTAAATTTTGTGTGTTATCAAGAAACTTATCATAATGTACATGATATTACTTTACAAGGTAATGCGAGAGGAATGGGAAAAATATCTGCTAAGTAAAGTTGAGCTGAAAACTTTACCAAAACATAAGCAGAAGAAGCCAAAGGCACCTAAAGGTTTTGGGGTTCTTGATGGGGTTATCCCCTCCATTTCTGGACAAAAAGCTGATGTCAGCAGCATAAGCAAACCCGAGAATGATGCGCTGCTGGCTGCAGCATATGAAATAAGTAAACAAGCAAAAAGGGACAATGATATGAAAGATGGTGGAGCCAGTGAGGAACATGATAAAGGAAGGAGAAATGGAAGAAATAAGAACAAGATAAAGATTGTTGAGACTGACCCTGAACCCGAAACTAGATTTCAATCTCAGACCTCTCCCTCAAAGCAAGAAGAGGAAAAAATTGACAATCAATCAATAGCTGGTCCTATTCTTGGCAACAAACTAGAGAGTGAGTATCCTGATAGAATTCTTCGAAAGCATGTTCAAGGACCGGATAGTGCAAGGCAGCTCCCACCAGTGATTTTCCATGCACTTGAGAGTGATCACAGTATTCTTGATATTTTAGAGCCTTCTGTAATTATTGTGTACCATCCTGACATTGCTTTTGTGAGAGAAATTGAAGTTTACAAATCAGAGAATCCCTTGAAGCCGTTGAAAGTATACTTTCTATTTTATGAAGATTCCACTGAGGTTCAAAAATTTGAGGCGAGTATACGTAGAGAAAATGGAGCATTTGAGTCTCTGATCAGGCAGAAGTCTATGATGATGATACCAGTTACTCAGGTTTGCTGTTGCATTCATTTTTGCTTCACCACGAGTTTCTTCCAGTTTTAAACATCCTGTTTTTGTTGTTGATCTTTTATTAAATCATGTTCATATGCTATCCAGTCAAATGTTCATACCTTTGATTTTTTCTTTTAGAGGATAGCGGCAGCTTATGCATATGCAAAGCTCTGCTTATTGTTGAGAAGTATATATTTCAAATGTTAAAAGTTCAGTTAATTTGATGCCTCTAAATAAAAATCAATGTAGTGGAAACTATACCTAATAAAATCTTTGAGAGACTTGGGGAGTTTTCTTGATCTGCTTTTCCAATTTGAGATTGTATGGTCAAACTTGATCCATTTTTCCATCTTTCATCTGAAAATTTAAATTATGAGTTATGCAACATATAGCATGAGAAAACCAATTCATTGGGATCATTCGAAGTCCTTAAATGTCGCTTATACTTTTTCATCTTTCCTAGGTTGATGTTTACGTTGGCTCTGTTATAGTTTCTTGTTCTATTTCTACTGTCGTTAAGTTTATTATACTTAATGCATGTTCTTGTGAGCATTATATTTTCCTTAAGACTACTGATTTGCTTGTCAATCCGTTTCGTGGTTGTCCGAAAACAATCAGGATGAGCAGCTTCTAGGCATAAGTTCTTCTGTAGAGCCGCAATCTACTGTTGCCCAAAATATGATTACCAGAAAAGCTGGTGGAAAGAAGGGAGCAGATAAGGAAATGCAGGTAAAGTGACATATCGAAGTTTTCCTAATTTCATTTAATATACACGATACAAATTGTAACATTTTTAATTTTCATCCAGATCATAGTGGACATGAGGGAATTCATGAGCAGCCTTCCGAATGTCCTCCACCAGAAAGGCACACGCATTATACCTGTGACTTTGGAAGTGGGAGATTACATTCTATCCCCATTAATATGTGTCGAGCGTAAGAGTATACAAGATCTCTTTGGCAGTTTTTCATCTGGTCGTTTATATCACCAGGTGGAGATGATGTCACGTTATTATCGAATACCTGTTCTCCTGATCGAGTTTTCGCAAGACAAGAGCTTTTCATTTCTGGTAATTCATACTTGAAATTTTTTTTTCCAAAACTCAGGGATCATTTATTAATTTTGTTAATTAACAAAATCATTGGCTTGTCCGTGTAGTCTGCAAGTGAGATAGGTGATGATGTTACTCCAAATAGTATTATATCCAAGCTGTCACTGCTTGTTCTCCATTTCCCTCGCCTGCGTATTGTCTGGTCCCGCAGTTTGCATGCCACTGCCGAAATTTTCACGATGCTCAAAGCGAACCAAGATGAACCACACGAGGCCAAGGCAATTAGAATAGGTGTCCCATCAGAGGATGGCATTATCGAGAATGATGTTAGGTAACAACAGCACAACTGTTTTCTGGTTCTCATCTTCGATATTCAGTAAATCTCTTGATGGGTAGAGCTAAAAAAACATTAAACTTAGAATATCTACTGTACTGTGCTAGCACCCAAATTTTTACGTCTTAATTGTTGTCCAAGTAAATGAAAATGGTGTAGCGTGATGTTGCATGGAAATGCAAATCGCGATCTAATAGAAACAGCACCCTAAATGTATTATTCTTCAAAATAAAAATACATTGGTTTCACCCAATCTGCTTTTTGAAAACTTTGGGTTATAATTTTTCGATATTCATAAAAAATGGATTACGTTGACAGAGCCGAAAATTTCAATACATCAGCTGTTGAGTTCCTCAGACGACTGCCCGGGGTTACAGATTCCAACTACAGGTCGATAATGGACGGTTGTAAAAGCTTGGCGGAACTTGTAATGCTTCCAATAGAGAAACTAGCAGAGTTGATGGGGGGTCAGAAGGCAGCAAAAACCTTGAGAGATTTTCTGGATGCCAAGTATCCAACCTTGCTTTAGAGCCAAATTATGCCAAGTATGAGTTTTTGATACTCATACTCTGTATGAGTACCATTTTTTTTTTTTTTTTTTTTTT